GGTCGAAATGGGTCACCATGGGTCGAAATGGGTCACCATGGGTCGAAATGGGTCACCATGGGTCGAAATGGGTCACCATGGGTCGAAATGGGTTCCAATGGGTCGCCATGGGTCACTCTACCACTCTAGGTCAAATTTGGTCTGCTTCATTTTTGTAAAACTATCATCCACCTGATAATTACACCCAAATTTGGTCAATTGGGCCACTTTGGGTCGCCATGGGTCACTCAGTATCATTCTGGGCCACTTGGATCAGACTTCGAGATTAAGAGAACAAAAGAGTTTCTGAATCAGCTCAGATTAGCTTGTTCCTTTCAGACAATCTTGTCTGGAAAGGATCCTCATGTTATTTCCCTATGATTTCTGACTTTTATTACACTCTTTAGTCTATGAGCAGAGTTAATGTCGTGACAATAGCTTCAGTAATTAGAGCAGATATGTATAGGTTAAAAGTTGAGGGAACTTGGTCAAACGTTGTATGATACTGAGGATATTACTTTGATACATAAACAGCATCCATATATTTCGGAAATTTATTTGCCCTATGGACCTCTATTCGGATTCTATACAGTCACTACATAGAGGCTTATAGATTCTATAGAGTCTATAAACTCCTCTATACAGTTCTATAGATTTGTATACAACTTTTTCACGTGGGACGTTGTCGATGTCAAGAGTGTCAACATTCTCTCAATGTTGATAGCTAATGTTGCAATGACATTCGTAGAAGTGTCGCAGCAACATTCCAAGTGAAAACATTGAAACAATGTTTTATCAATGTTGTACAGCAACTTGCAACATAGAGCAACATAGGCAACATTTCAGAAACGTTTCATCAACATGCTGTGTTACTTCCCTAGTAGCACAAAACATTGAAACAACATTGATTCAACGTTGATTCAACATCCGGACGTGGAATCAACATTGAATCGATGCTGATTCAATGTTATGTGCTACTGGGATTGGGAAAGCATCCACTTCCATTCCAGCCCCCGCGGATAACAGAACCAAAATTGACTACGGGAGAGAGCGGCTGATCGCGGCCGTGTACACAGGGTTGCTGGGAGTACGCCTGAAATGCGTGAAATCTGACATCCCACAGGACATCCTCTCCTCCCATCTCGAAGCGACCCAGACGCGCGGACTATCGAAAACACGTCCATATTGGCGTCGAAGACGAAGAATCTACCAGGGCTTCTCTTTCATGGCGCCCACATCGCATATCTGGAACGGATTGCTTCACACTTCCCTTTTTTCGCTGACTTTCTTCAGGGGAACAATTTAAAAATATATATTTCATAATCGATGTCGCTATCCACGATGGAAATGAAATGGTAACCAATTACCTATGCGGCCTACATATACGTTTTTATTGAGAATACAGCAATCAGTTTTTTTTTCCTCGAAAGCAAATTAGGTTATATACGCACGTAGCTTCTCAAATTTAGAATATCATGTTGCGTGTTTGAAGGAAATAAAATAGGATGGGGCTGAAACTCCGCCTTGATGCTTTCACATGCGTCAGCTCTTTCACGCCTTTGCTTCCCAACCGATAGAAGCTTTTCTCTCGGACTGACTGGTGTTCAATAGGGGCTCTTCGTCGTCCTGTCGAGAAAAGTGGGGAGAAGACGAGAAGATGGGGCATTCGATCGATCGTGGTTTTTTGGGTGGTAACAAACCTGAACTTCCGGTTTGTAGTTCGTCGGCTGGGACTTTTGGCTCCTTTCCGTGACTCGCACGAGGACGAAGACGAGGGCCGCATCGATGATGGCATGGACGTTGAAGAAGAAGAAGACGATCCGGCTCCACTTCTCCCAGAACTTACTCGTACAGTCTGGTATATAACCATTTGAAACCAACTTTGACGTGTTATCTATTCTCTTTTCTGGGAAAATACTCTTTTTAAACAAGGTCAAGTAAAAATATGGAAATTAGAACTCTTTAACAATTTAGGCATCCCGTGTCTGAACCTCCCCGTTTCATCTCACACTTCATCAGTCGCAAGGCGGAAAATGGATCTTTGTCGAAATGACGTCGCGAATTACGTCTCTTTTATTTTTTACAGTTAATTTATTTCTAGGTGTGCAAATTGCAAGTTCGCACTTTGATATTTCAAGACTACGGACTTGAGAGGAGACGCATCAACTTTTCGGTATTTCTTTCAAAAACTCGGGAAGTTCTTAATTTCCTTAATTTAAGAATTCTGATTCGCTCAAAAGGATTCCCCAGAGCAAACCGGTGGGAAAGACATAACATTACCAAATTCAATTCGGCCTCTATCGGAAAATTATGCAACTGATCTACTTCCACTCAAACTGTCTAAATTGCCACTTCGAACCGGATGCATTCGGGGGAAAAAAAAATTACGGTATTTTCCACAGGGAATTCGGATTGGTGACAGCTGGTGCCGATTAACTCGAGGAAGAGCGCCATGACGAAGACCGTCTCCTGGGAGCCAGGGGGAAGGGCCACTCCCTTCTCCATGAAGATCACGACCAGTGCGAAGAAGACGAAGGCGGCGTACATCCCCACGTGCTGCATGGCCGTCTCCTGTTCGGTGGGGTTCATCGTCACTTCGACTGCACAGAAGGCGGGGATAAGATCAATTGTTTCGTTCTGTGTTGCAGGCGTGGGAGAGACTCACGGATCATCCCTGTGATGCTGATGGCCACGAGGAACCAGTAGTCGAGGACCCTGACGCCGGGGATGAACCGGACGCAGAAGCGAAAAGGAGGGGAGTCGGGGTCCAGCCGACTGCGCTGCCAGCAAGCGAGGTTGTGCCATGCCAGGAGGAGGCCGGGGTCAGGGCGTGACCGTCCAGCGAGTGGTCATCCAGGTTGTACAGTCTTCCTGCCTTGACGTCGTTCTGAATGGCACTTGCATCTATTGGGAAAAAAGATTGGTTCTCCCCCCCATCTGCCTTGTTTCGGCAGTTTCAATAGTCGCGCACGGTTATAGAGAAATTGTTTGATATTCCTTGTTACCGCCAATAGAGGCCCGCCCTAGACCTCCTGGGAAACTTTCCGTGTTCTGGTCTATATACGAGATGAATAAATGTATTGCAGAAAATAAAGGCTACACGGATGCCTGCCTTATTAACACTTTAAGGCCTGCAGCCGTCTCGTGACGTCCTACGCCCATAGCGCATTCAATTTCCCCGGACTCAAAGTGTTCAATGTCCAGATTGACTTCTATCTTTCCCACCAACCGTTACTAAAAGTACCATTCGGCATTTTCTCGTCATTTTCACGCGCACTCGCCCGCGCTAGCAGTGCGTGGCTCTATATAGGAGAGCCAATCACGGACGAGAATTCTGCTCATGAGAACACTGCTATAACTTTTAAAAATTTGAAACGTTACATGAGCTCTGTAAAAGGGAAAAGTCCGTCTTCACGTTACGAGACGTCTGTCATTAGAGCGATATTTAACATTCATAATTTTGACATCTATCGTGCCTTTCTGCAAGGACATTCACCATGGGAACTACAGAGATGTGATATTAAAACAATGTTGTTTTCCTGGGAGTAAAGGATTGAACATTCGCTCTCCTCTGCCTGGGAAAGTACTGTACATGTTTTTATTTAGAAGGCAGCCGGAGTTTAATGCCCGCAAAGCATCTCTAGTATGAAATGGGGTCGGTGCAGCGTGATGGTGGAGCTTGATGGACGAAAATGATATCGGTGAATGCGGATGAGACCCAGCTCGGATAGTTCACCTCTCTCGACTCTTTCACACCTTTGATTCTTCTCCAATGGGAGCCTTTATCTCATCATGACGGTAGCTCAATAGAGGCTCTTTCTCGTTCTGCCAAGAAAAGTCGGGGAAGTGTCCTGTATTTTGACAACCATGATCAACAATCACATTAAGAGTGATTTTTTTTTTAAATGCCTATCAAATTCATGGCCAGTGAAGCCAAGGTTTTCCAGCAACATAAGTCCTGAAACGTTTCTGCAACGTACAAGTTCATGTAATGAGTAATTTACGATTTGCAATGGCAATGCAATATTCATTCGCAACATTTGAGCAACGTTGACTTTTGAGACATTTACACTTAGAAGCAACATTGTTCCTCAACATTTCCTAAACTTTGCTGGATTCTCTTGTGTCAATAGGTGAAAGTGCCAGATAATTTCATTAGTGGATTATTTTTGGGAAACGGTCTCATAATTTTGAGAATAGCCAGCAGACAAAAAATGTAGGTCTGCACTTGAAGCAGAGGCCGCGGAAATTGAGTTGAACTCGGTGAAAGGGTGCGCAACGTGGTCCCCAACCCCCAAAATCTAACTTGCTAACAAGTCTTGTTAGGAAGTGGAATCAAATCCGCGACCATTTATGGTGAAAAGAATGAATTCGCAAGTAGTCATCGTTCTCGTGGTGACGAACCTGAAAGGCAGTATTATACTTCCTCAGCTTGCTCTTGACAACCCTTTCGGTGACAAGCACGAGGACGAAGAGGAGGGCCGTAGCGAAGATGGCATGGAAGCACCAGTACGACATGATGAGCAAGACGTGCTTCGGGTTGTACAGATTCCAGGCGTTAATCCACGGCGGTTGCAAGATCGTTGTGATCTGGATGTTCCACGTCCCCTGCAGTATCAGGGAGAAGCAGATGAGCAGGCCAGGGAGAACGCTGCAGGACATTGGAGGGAAATGAGGGGATGCCGGGCGGACGCTGGCGTTTTGGACGAGGACCGAGAACCCACCAATGACCCCGAACGATATCCCGTATAGGAAGCACATGTGCACCTGGAAGGGTTACGAGGTTCTCTTTAGAATCCTGCAGTTCCGCGTTTCGAACCAGTCATACTTCACTGGTGACAAACCCTTCTTTGACGAGAAATGCATCACTGACAACTACAGATTCCACTTCCTTTACTTCGTGAATGAAACTCCGAGAAATCCGCGAACCTAATACATTTTCGTGTTCTTCCTCAGGACTTCATCTCCTCTCATATTTCATTACCCAAAAACGGAACTTAGATTGTCGTCAATAGATATCGAAAAGAAAATCTGCCATTCGTCTGGATATTCCAATCCATACATTTTCGAACCGGAAAATTAATTCTGGACGCTGGAGTGCATATGCAAGAAGCATCATCGTAGCCTTTGTCCCTCTTCAGAGTGATTGGGAAATACTTAATTTTTTCTACTGAATTATTAATGGCTTCTGAAATGAAAAATCCTGAGCAACCCAAATGCAAAGGTGCATATCTATCAAATTCAAAACCTTTTCCACTCTAGAATACAATGCAATTGAACTACTTTCATCCGATCCACTTCAAGTGCAATTAAGAACCGGCAAAAAGAATGTATGAATGATTTTACCGCATTATGAAGAGGGCTAGGTAAGTGATGATTTTTGATGGAGATCCATTCGAGTGCTATTGCGACGAGGAAGGCTGCCTCTTTGGAGGCGGGGGGAAGGGCCATACCTCTCACGGTGCAGATCCCGACCAGTGCGAAGAACATGTAGGCGGAGTATATTCCTGAGTGCTGGAGGTTCGCCTCCGGAATGTCGGTGTACAGAGAGTTAACCTCTGCGCGGGAATCGGGAATTACATTTCGTGTCACGTTCCGTTTCGAAAGCGGAAACGATACGCACCGATGATCGCTCCGATGAAGAAGATGAAGACGGCCCAGAAGTCCAGGGCCCAGACGCTGGGGAAGAACCGGATGGAGAAGCGGAACGGAGGGGAAGCGGGTTCCAGCTGGCTGCGCTGCCATCGAGTGAGATTGTACCACGCCAAGAGGAGGCCGAGCGAGAGGATCCACGAGCCGGCCACGAAGTGGCTGTCGATCCCCTGCAAAGTCTTGAGAAATGATCCTCCGGCATCGACGCCGTCCCCAACGTGCATATCTGTTAGTTCCGAGAAGTCCGTTAAAACCGTCGGCCGTAATGGTAAATCACACTTTTCCACTCTTCGACATTCGTGGATACCCAATAAGATTCTCGACCCGTTCGCGAACGGGAGTGCCTCAGGCGACTCCCCGTAGACCTTATTCACCTTTGTCCCTTTCCATTCCTGCTTCGATTCGCGATGCGAAACGGGGTCATATACGTTGACACCGAGGGATGAGAGAAAGTGATGCTTTAGTTTCCGAAGTTCCCAACTGCATGCAAAAACTATACTCCTCCTCCTTATTTCGCTCGATTAACTGCCGATCCCGGTTCTTGAGAACCCATATTCGAATTAGGAAAATTTCGTCCAGTGAATGTAAGTCGTCATGGCTTTGTTTCAGATCAGATTCCCAAAATTATTGCTCGTCACACGAGGAGAAGATTTCACTGTGAATTATTCGACGCGGAACGATGATGTGACTATGTTACAAAGCTGAACGAATGAGTTTGTCGAGCACCGCACACCCAAACAGCAGTCGTGTTTGCTTTTGTAGGAACCAGGGGTAGCATTGAGGTAAACGTTGCGATATCGCACTTCGAATTTGTTTTGCACGATACACATCTACAGACAATAAGCTTTCGAACGATATATTGCATGACACGCCGGGTTATCTTTTTGTATAACATCGCAACGCAGCTTCCAAAAAGACATTAGCGTATTATTTTTAAAGACGATACTAAGGACGCTCCCATTTAGCAAGATCGCAAGAGACTTCGAGGACGCAGGAGACTTCGAGGACGCAGGAGACTTCGAGGACGCAGGAGACTTCGAGGACGCAGGAGACTTCGAGGACGCAGGAGACTTCGAGGACATAATAGACTTTTTTTGTGAATAGGAACACATACCAGAGTGAGCCGGATCGGGTGCGCCCGAGGTATTGTGGCCCTCCATGGTCGAAGCCTCCACCAGCAAACCGCAACTGCCGCTGTTGTTCGTCGACCTACGCTTTTAAAGAGGATGAAAAAAAATTAAAAAAAACAAGAAGAAAGTTGAAGGTGTTGATGAGTGCGAGGATGATCGTGCCGACTCACGTCCAATGTCGTCCGATGACGTTAGCATTGCCGTCGACGCGAAGTTCGTTCGCGGGACGCAGGAAAGAAGGGGGAAGCGGAAAACCGTCGCCGACGTCTTAATTCGTTTCACCGAGCGGCATCCGCGGGAACAATTCTTCATCGTTTGGGATTCCAAAAAAGATTTCCCGTCGCAAACGAAAGCGATCTCGTTTCGTCGCGGAAGGTGTTCTGGTTGCAAGCGATTCGACCGACGACGCCGCATCCCCGCGCATCACCGGCGAAGCCACGGACGAACTTTCGGATTTCTCGCGAAGTCTTCGAAATCGTGCATGAGAAATGTCTGAAGGAGGCGGGCGAGAAAACGCGGTGCGCTGTTTGGTTAATGTGGTAACGAACTAAAGATGTTCACAGTATGCATTTTAACAATCGCCCGACGTCTCGTTTTTCCAAGTCTCGCCGATGCATCTTCCTCCACTCTTCCACTCTTCCTCCACTCTGTATCGTTTAAAGGGAGTAGTCGCTCTTTAAGTGGATATGTCGCACTTAATGTCTGTACGATTGTTTTCGCTTTTAATTTAGACAGCTTAGTTGCTTGAAGCTTTCGGGAAGTGATCTTTTATAGTGTTTTTTCAATGCCATATTTTTAAAATTACAATCTGAGAATTTCCAATGTCGATTTCACAAGGTACGTATACCTCTCCGTACGTTCTTCATTTACCGAATTCGACCGAATCATGAATGAAAACAGGGAGACCTACGCGACCGGGCTGGGAAATCATCGCGGCGGGCCGCTGATCACGCCGGACTCGCTTCCATTACCATCATGGTGATAGTTAGCATCATGGTGAAAAAATAACTGATGTAAATATCCCTTACGAGCGCGTGCCGAGCAGATGATTACCGATGACTGTCGGTCGATGATGTGGCTTCTTCTCCACCGATATCGAGATCCGGGATGGAAGGCGGAAACAAATGACATTTATTTGTAAATTCGTAAATATGTCGTGTTTCGTGTCCATGAAGGCGATGGAAGGCCATCACCGATTTAATTCCTTTCCTTAATGTCCGTGAGAAGATGCTATCTCTTGCCAACAGGCATTCGCTCGTGCGCAATATAGACGGTGAGGTTGGCCTCCCTGCTCGAGTATAATATTAATTTGCTTGTGCTGTGGAATATCCCTCTGCGTTGTCATTGAGCTGGAGGAGGCCGCTAGGTACTGGTCGCTGGTTGCTTTCTTGCCAGTCGCGTAAGTAAAAAATCTCCTGCAATGGATGATTACATCTCTTGCTGATGGCTCCTCAACATTCATTTGCCATTCCCATAGGCACGATGGTATAATGGCAGATACTGCGATCGGTCTCTCGCCTTTTTCTTCTTCGATCCCTCTGTCCCTAGTAGCCATAGAAAACACCACTGACTGCGCGTGTGCAGCTCTCCGCCGGGGTTGGGGTGCTCGTCCGCAACTAAAGCATCCACTTCCATTCCAGCCCCCGCGGATAACAGAACCATAATAGACAATGGGAGAGAGCGGCTGATCGAGGCCGTGTACACAGGGTTGCTGGGCGTACGCCTGAAATGCTGCATCTGACATCCCACAGGACATCCTCTCCTCCCCTCTCTAAGCGACCCGGACGCGCGGACTATCAAAAACACGTCCATATTGGCGTCGAAGACGAAGAATCTACCAGGGCTTCTCTTTCATGGCGCCCACATCGCATATCTGGAACGGATTGCTTCCCACTTCCCTTTTTTCGCTGACTTTCATCAGGGTAACAATTTAAATATATATATTTCATAATCGATGTTGCTATCCACGATGGAAATGAAATGGTAACCAATTACCTATGCGGCCTACAAATACGTTTTTATTGAGAATACAGCAATCAGTTTTTTTTTTTTCTCGAAAGCAAATTGGGTGATATACGCACGTAGCTTCTCAAATGTAGAATATCATGTTGCGTGTTTGAAGGAAATAAAATAGGATGGGGCTGAAACTCCGCCTTGATGCTTTCACATGCGTCAGCTCTTTCACGCCTTTGCTTCCCAACCGATAGAAGCTTTTCTCTCGGACTGACTGGTGATCAATAGGGGCTCTTCGTCGTTCTGTCGAGAAAAGTGGGAAGTCGTAAATAATCGCTAATCCGATTTTTTAAGACGAGAATATAGGGCATTCGATCGATCGATCGTGGTTTTTTCGGGTGGTAACAAACCTGAACGGCCGGTTTGTAGTTCGCCGGCTGGGACTTTTGGATCCTTTCCGTGACTCGCACGAGGACGAAGACGAGGGCCGCATCGACGATGGCATGGACGTTGAAGACGAAGAAGACGATCCGGGCGTGCCGCAGGCTCCACTTCTTCCAGGGGTTATCCCACAGCGGGTGGATCATCGTCGAGATCTGGATGTTCCACGTCCCCTGCAGGATCAGCGAGAAGCAGAGGACGAGGACAGGAAGGATGTTGGAGGATTTGGGAAGGGAGTGAGAGGACGTGGGAGGGACATAGGAGCGGTCGAGGAGGATCAGGAACACGCCGAGGATCCCCGTCGCCGTCGCGTATCCCAGGCATTTGTGAACCTGGAATGGTGAAGAGGATCTTTCTGGAATCGTGCAGTCCCAGCTCCTGAACAAATCTCATTTCTCCAGCGGCGAGCCACTCCTTGAAGAGAATTCCATCGCTGCCAACCGCGGCGAAATACCCTTCGGCTACAAGTATTGTACAAATCGCTTACCATCATAACAGAACTTATTCGTACAGTCCGGTATATAACCATTTGAGACCAACTTTGATGTGTTATTCTCTTTTCGGGGAAAATACTCTTTTTAAACAAGGTCAAGTAAAAATATGGAAATTAGAACTCTTTAACAATTTAGGCATCCCGTGTCTGAACTTCCACGTTTCACCTCACACTTCATCAGTCGCAAGGCGGAAAATGGATCTTTGTCGAAATGACGTCGCGAATTCCGTCTCTTTTATTTTACAGCTAATTTATTTCTAGGTGTGCAAATTGCAAGTTTGCACTTGGATATTTCAAGACTGCGGACTTGATAGGAGACGCATCAAGCTTTCGGTATTTCTTTTAAAAACTCGGGAAGTTCTTAATTTCCTTAATTTAAGAATTCTGATTCGCTCAAAAGGATTCCCCAGAGCAACCCGGTGGGAAAGACATAACATTACCAAATTCAATTCGGCCTCTATCGGAAAATTCTGCAACTGATCTACATCCACTCAAACTGTCTAAATTGCCACTTCGAACTAGATGCATTCGGGGGCAAAAAGAATTTACGGTATTTTCCACAGGGAATTCGGATTGGTGGCTGCTGGTGCCGATCCACTCGAGGAAGAGCGCCATGACGAAGACCGTCTCCTGGGAGCCAGGGGGAAGGGCTACTCCCTTCTCCATGAAGATCACGACCAGTGCGAAGAAGACGAAGGCGGCGTACATCCCCACGTGCTGCATGGCNACTCGAGGAAGAGCGCCATGACGAAGACCGTCTCCTGGGAGCCAGGGGGAAGGGCCACTCCCTTCTCCATGAAGATCACGACCAGTGCGAAGAAGACGAAGGCGGCGTACATCCCCACGTGCTGCATGGCCGTCTCCTGTTCGGTGGGGTTCATCGTCACTTCGACTGCACAGAAGGCGGGGATAAGATCAATTGTTTCGTTCTGTGTTGCAGGCGTGGGAGAGACTCACGGATCATCCCTGTGATGCTGATGGCCACGAGGAACCAGTAGTCGAGGACCCTGACGCCGGGGATGAACCGGACGCAGAAGCGAAAAGGAGGGGAGTCGGGGTCCAGCCGACTGCGCTGCCAGCAAGCGAGGTTGTGCCATGCCAGGAGGAGGCCGGGGAGAACCAGTAGTCGAGGACCCTGACGCCGGGGATGAACCGGACGCAGAAGCGAAAAGGAGGGGAGTCGGGGTCCAGCCGACTGCGCTGCCAGCAAGCGAGGTTGTGCCATGCCAGGAGGAGGCCGGGGACGAGCCACCCGATGCCGGCCAGGGCGTGACCATCCAGCGAGTGGTAATCCAGGTCGTACGATCTTCCTGCCTCGACGTCGTTCTGAATACCACTTGCATCTATCGGAAAAAATTTGGTCTTCCCCATTTGGCTTGTTTCTCTCGGCAATTTCAACAGTCGCGACCGGTTATGGAGAAATTGTTTGATATTCCTTGTTACCGCCAATAGAGTCCCGCCTGGGGCCTCCCCTTGGCAGTAACACGGCCCAGCCGTGCATATGCCAAATATGAAGTTCAAAGGATGTCCCAAAAATTTATTTCTGCTATTATGTCATCTTCCGGCCGAGAAACAAAAGTCCCGTTAGTAAAGGGAACCCGTTAAGGAACGAAATTACCTTCACGCATCCGGGGAAAATGAACGTCCAGAGGACGAACATAGAAAGTACTGAAATTTTGAAGTGGAAAAAAAGCCAAAGACATCATTTCCAATTTGCACCTATACAATGCAGGATTTTTTTCATCATACGGTAGAGACTTTGAAATTGGTATGATGAACGTTTTCACGCCTCTAAGTTGTATGGGCAAAGATCAACAGCTGTTGCAACTTATGGTATCCAACACTTTCAACATTACTCTACAGACGCGTCCCATTTTTCGCCAAGATGCCTGCTCGTTATGGAAGCAATTCCCTTCGGAACGTCCTTTATTGTGCAATGTGATATCGTATCGTGTAAAGGGGAAAGTCGCTGGTGCTTTTAAAGGAAGGCCCGGGAACGAAGAGCCTACACGGAGTCGGTCGGAGACCCTCGCGATTCCCTCTCAGTTCCTGCGGAACGCACCAGGGCTTTCTTTCCCTCCTGAGGCCGAGAGACACCACGCAATCGGGAATGCTGTGGCTAAGTGGCAACATGGGAAACGTGTCCCAGAAATAGAAATCTTTCGAGAGGTGGTAACATCTACTTCGTACGTGGATAAGTTGAACTTTATGTCTGTGCTTTCAATTACTTTCCCTTGTTATTCAACTTAGATGTTTTAAACTTTCATGAAGTGAATTTTATGGTGCTTTTCATGAGATATTTAAAAAAATTATGATATGAGAATCCTCACTGTCGATTCCACGAGGACATTAAATTGTGTATTAATTTTAATACCTGGTACTCCAAATATATATTTTTTCCTTTCGTGAGCACGACCAAGGAATAAACGACAAGATACGATGATAAAATAATGGTAAAATTATAATATAGGGACTTACGAGACTGAGCTGGACCGAGGGCATCTGAGACGTTCAAGTTCTCCATGGGTGAAAACACAGCTGGCAAAAAGACGGAAACTGTCGTGGCGAGTCGCTGACCTCCTGTTTTAAAGCGGACGCAAGAGACCGAGGAAAGTCAGGAGGAGAGCAATAATGATGACTCGCTTCAATTTATATCCTGTCATGGAGGTATTAGTGTCGGCGTGAAAAATCATCTGAGATGATAAACATCCCCTATGAGAGCCGTTGATTACCGATAATAATCGGTCGATGAAATGGCTTCTGTTCCAGCTGCTGCTGCAGAGACACCGTCCAAAAACTGGTATAAAAGGATTGCTCTGAAAATCATGGAGTGGGGCACGCTCTTGGTGATATTTCCATGCCTAAGAGTTGGTCCATCTGGTATAAAAGGGTTACCAAAATGAACAACAAAATCATCAACGTTCCATGCATTTCAAAAAACGTCATAAAATACAACAGTGAATAATTACACCAGAATTCAATCTCTAAACAACATTTCATACTTGAGTCTCAGTCCACATACCAAAAAAAAATACAATTAAGCAGGTATCATACTACGACCTGCAGCAAAACCAATAATGATAAGCAAGACAAAAATGAGATTCAACTCAGAATTGGAGGAATGCTCATGATTCCTTGGGCTTTGTACTGATGAGCAGGAAATACCGGAAACTCCAATTCAAGGCCGCAGAGCCACCCGCTTCCTGCTGGCCGAGCAAGTCCAAGAGCCTGCAAGAGAAGCAGTAGCAGTTTTCAATGTCTCAAGAATTACACATGTAACAGAAGCATCCAAGCGCCTCATCAATCAGGGATGCATTTGAATCACTTTGAATGTTCCAATGTGTATTGTTCCAACACACATTTCCTTTTTGTTTCAGCACTAACAAAATTCTGATGTCATTGTTGAAAATAATTTCATTTCAGTGCAGGTAACACAAAAGTGCTCATGAAAATCAAAGATCCATTTTAGACCGTGAAAACATTTTTCTTAATACTTCATTTCATGTCGCAGAACTGAAGCCATGCAGTCATACTTATTATGGGAAATATGCCACAATATTTAAGACCTTGATTAATAGACTCCTCTGAATGCATTACTCTAAGGATACAAACCATTCATGTCAGAGGATTTAGAGATTCAACACCCTTGCCAGTTAGGAAACTCTAAAAAATATATGCATTAATTTCTCTCTACACCAAGAGCAATGATTTTCATTGTGGCCACTACTCATTGACAAGTTTCTGAGAAGGGTGAGCTGGATTATACTCAACTCCAGCAAATAGGCAGATCCCTCTTCACGGCTTTATGGTTCTCTGGGAAAGAGTATGCAGAAGAAGACTACCAGGAGCAAAGGCTACCTTCAAAAGAAATTGCTTGGTACTTGGTCCCATTTTCTATTTCAAGTATGCTTGCATATCAACGAAGTCTCTAACTCTGTCAACCCCTCACTGTTAAAAAAAGTGACGGATCTACTCTGCAAGCAAATTGACTCCTTACAAATATTCATGGAAAAGTTTTGTTCAACATCAAACCTCACCATAAATGATCCCAGATTTTATTTGCCTTCCAAAGGTTAAATTTTACTACAATGAAGCAAAAAGGGTCAATTACTCTTCAACAATAAAATTAGTAAAAATACATAGATAGAAAATGACTACAAGAAGAAAAAGAACTCTTTCACCATGAAGATGCATCAAAAGCAAAAGAAGTCAATAGATAACCAAACCCTTCAACTCAATGCCATTATCTGTAATGCATTTTTGGATTGCACTTGTTCATCCCATTCAAATAAGATCCAGCAAAGAGCACACACACGACGGCCTACCTCAGCCGTGCATGCAAGAGCAGCTTGTTGCACTCGGCCTGTCCTCTGTCCTTGATGTATGCTTGCAGTCCAGACCAGGTCTGCAGGTATCCCAGGAACTCCTCAACCGTTCCATTCACAGTGGCTGTGAACTGCTCTGAATCCTTTCCACTATGGAAAAATCATGCAGAAGTTCACCAGTCTGGTCAATGCAGCAGAGTCCTTTGGAAATAAAACTTAACAGGTGAAAATGTTCTACAAGGAACAAAAAGGAAGACATGTCATGAGTTGGACTGTAAATAATAGATACGAATAGAATACATATGCAAATGGCAGAAGTACTAGGGGCATTTCATAAATTCTGCACAGGTTGGCAACACTGAATACTGGATTAGGTTATGGCTGCCATTTTCTTCCCAGTTGTAGTTTGAGGCTATGAGTGTTTTCACGCCGAATCTTGTTGCTCTAAGTGCTGCAGTTTAGAAACAGTGAACTATCAAAATGGCCAGTGCAGAGTTTTCAGGTACTGTGACACGAGACAATCAGCGAACTTACATTAAAATTGAAACTTTGCGCAATAAAACTCCCACAGAAATTCACACTGCTCTTGTGGAAGTGTGTGGAAGTGATGCAGTAGACCGGAGCACAGTGTCTCGTTGGGCCTCACGTTTTCGTTGTGGGCGGGAGAAATGTCAATGCTCACAATCAAAAGCAGATGATGATCTTTGCATACGACTGTTGTGGTCTGATTGTTACTGATAGTGTGCCTGTGAAATGTAGTTTCACAGGAGCATATTACAGCCAATTCTTGCAGAAACTTCGAAGAAAAATGCACCACAATCGCTCGGAACTCCACTAACAAGGGGTTCTCATCCTCCATGACAATGGCAGGCCACACGTTAGTAAAATAGTGACTGATTTACTGGCCAAGCACAGCTGGAAAATTCTTCCTCACCCCTGATATGAGTCCTCCAGACGATGACCTATTCCCAAAACTCAAACATGGTGTGCGTTTTGCAGATTTAAAAGAACTTTCTCGAGCCGTTACCCGAAGCATTCGTCAACTTAACAAAGATGGCGCCTTATCTGGCATTCACAGCCTTCCACACCGTTGGGAGTCCTGCATTGCTAAGGAAGGAGAATATGTAGAAGGCCTGTTGATATAGTCTGTTGGATTAATTGTCAATAAAAGAGAAAAAAAATTGTGTGCAGAATTTCTGAAATGCCCCTCACAGAATAGATTTGAGGCTCATTAAATTATTAGAATTGTACACAGGATATACCCCATGATAGGCAGTGATGGGATACAAGTAAAGTCAAGTAAAGATAACAAATACAGCTTATCACATGATTTTTCTTGAGGACATCAGATATTTCTCCCAGGACATATAGTTCCCTTCAACTTATAATACATATTGATGATTGGTACCAAAGTGGAAAGAAAGATAGTTTGTGGTTTTTAAATGAATAGGCTTATTCTCATGTTCCTGAGCAGAAAAAAAGAGGAGTACATGTCATGCCCATTGGAAACAGAATTGATTTTTAAACTATCATTCATAAAAGATTATTTCCTTTGTGACTAAAAATGGACATATCCAGTAGTGCACTCCTGTGAGGATGTACTAGGTTGTAACAAACGTTTTTGTGCATACAAACAGCGCAACATTCCGCGAAGCATGATTTTTTTGTCACACATTCTGAATGCTGTAATTTTAAAAATAAATTTAATGATTTGTAAAAAAAAGCAACATATATTTATACATGGCATAAAACACGCTTCAAATGCTCAGAATGTGTGATGAAAAAATCATGCTTCATGGACTGTTGCATTGTTTGTATACACAAAAACTTTTGTTACAACCTAGTATATTCTTGGTATGATTTGTAGGTCTTTGCCTCATCTGAAAGTTGAGAAATAAACATAAAAAATGTAGTGGGTTTTTTATGTGCCACCCAATGTTTGGCACAATTGTCAAACTGAGCCCCCACCAGCAGAAACATGTCAAAATATGATAAAGCAACCACACCCCTTTTCAAACGTTTCCAAATGGTCACATTCATACCAGCTGCAACTACACATCATCCATTTGATTGGAACAGGGTTACCTGTTATTCATTGCTTCACAGGACAGACATCTATGTGCCTGAGTCTCAAGCTTTAAATTCCAGACACCAAGTGTCATTGCTCTTTGTTTGGGGACATCAATGGCTTGTGGGGCTACAGCATGGCCATGGAATCCTACATTGTGCAGCTCATTCTACACTTATTTTATGGAGACTGCAATCACAGTGGATTGGAAAATCTCCCAGGGCAGTGTTACGTTGGCACATCTTTGTGCATCTCAGTAGTATCCTGGCTCTATTTATTACTTTTCCAGCCTGATCTGATTGGGGAGATTATCACCATGTCCATGAACATGCCAGCATGCAATCGCAACACCCGCAGTGGTCAAGAATCATGGATATTTGTCAGTGAGACCTCCTCACTGAATACCATCCAATAACCATTCCTCTTTGGCACTCACTTGACTCTAGTCACAGAGACTTGGTACTTTAAATTGAACTCTAAATAAGCACAATGATGCTCATAAAACTGTAGTCAGGCAAGCATTTACTTTAGTCTACTGGTGATGATCTCAGGAGGCCATTTGAAAGAATTTAAGTCTCTGTCAATAATTGCAACAAATATATGAAAAAGTCAGATGAAAATCATACAGCCATGGGCTTCAGTAAGCAATTTTTGACTTTATGAATGGCCATTTATTTATTTCTTTGAATCGAGTCACATGTAAAACTTACCGCATATAGAGAGCATCTGGATAGGGAAGGGTGATTCTGTCATACTCCCTGTCCACATCTACTCGACTGGAATCCCACCAAGGACCAGTGGTATGATATATCTGAAAATTCAAAGTCAATTATTCTATTTCACTCAAGCATTGACAACTCCTAATACTTCTAGCATCATATACTTTTCCTGATGGTATCATAACAATGGAGAATTCTCTCTACATGATAACATCTTTGCATGATCATTCAGCTACCTTTTGCTGCAGAACTTGTAGCATCCTTAGCTAAGCCGACAAGGATGCAGGGATCAGACATTCGGATGCACTTGTTTTATAGACTTCTCAGCCTACCAATTCAAGCAGGAGCTGCATATCACAAAGCTAATATGTAATGCAATGCAAGACTGGAAGCTTTCCATCCCCTGGGGTGGGATGGAAATAAAATGCATCAGAATCACATAGATATATGTCTAGTCACTGTCCGTAGGGTATTCATTAAGACAGGATTCTACATATATTCTGGAAAAAACAGAAATCAGATCTACCATGGGAGAAACTGTGATTAGCATTTAATCATGCTATTAATGAGAAACACAGACAGAAATTGTGTGCAAGAGGCTACAGGATGACAGCACAAATGCCAGGAAAGACCATAATTAATTGAAAAATAAAACTTGGCCAGAAATATTGAAATAGCAAGGAAATTATGAAAATTATGACTGTTGGGATCAGTGGAACTAAAAGGAATGCCTATAAAAGCATAAAGGCTTTTAAAAACTTTTGGGTACCCCTCCAGAAACTAATAAAAAAGTAGGTAAAATGAATCACTTCTAAAATCACTTTGAGTTCAAGCACTACCAGGTACACATACACTGAGAAGATGTCAGAAAAAAAAGGCCACATGAAATTTTGGGGAAGACTTCTGTATCCATTAGAATGCAAGCTGAAATGATTCCTAACCTGATCAACAACATCCATGAAGGCTGCTCTGTCATCAGGAGCAGTTGGATTGAAGGGACAGGGGAGTACATATCCCATCAGTGCAAGAACGCCATGAGGAACGAGCACGCGATTTGCTTCTTGGAAGAACTGAGGGAGGTCAAACCAATGGGCAGCCTGACAAGCTGTGATGAGCTGAACAGATGTATCCTCTGCTTCCAGGGAACTGGCTGTCTTCAGTCTGCAAATAGGAAAATTGGCAATTATTTCATTGTAGGCCTAGCCTTGTGACATAATAGGGACTCCAACAAAGAAGGGTGATGAGAAAGCATCTTGGCAAAGGAAGTTAAGGTGTCTCTTCTCCAAGAACTTTCTTTTTAAACAAAAGATGACAATTCCATGAAGTATCAATTGTACAAAAAAAAAGCTTGTCCTTTTTGCATAAATTTATGTTTATGTCATTTGCAATGCAGACTGATCTTCACAAAAAATTAGCCATTTTACCATGTACAGAATGGAATTGAAGACCCCAGTTAAAAAACGACAGGTATTTCTTTTCCTGAAATTCCATTATATGCATCACTGTATATCTCTCACTGAGGTGGACATCCAAGTGAAAAATTACATGATTCTACACTTGGCTATTTCCATTGCAAAATTATTTTATATCTGTTTTTATGTTTTTTTTTTGCATGACATTATTCACATCACTCAATGAGCACATCAACCTTTATTTTAAATGTTATTTTTATAACAATAAATGCTGTAATTTGAGAACGAATTGGATGCCATTTTATCATGCAGTGTATAAAGCCTGGGAGAACCCCCTCCTTTGGGACAAGTGTCTCATGATTGAATTTATGGGCAAAATATGCATAAAATAGTTTTGTTTTCAGCCACCATGTCCAATTGCATATGGGGTATGAGACAAGAAAAAGGGTTAATTAGGAATAGCCATTCACTTTCAGAGGAAGTGAATTAGTGAATCACTGATACAAAATTAGTGCAGTTCTCCATTCCAGGAATATTATATTATGGCAAATAAGTATAAAGGCCAATGATATCATGCAATATAATTATCCCATGCCTAGGTAATGCCATTCTGCACACATTTGTGGCTGTTATTCTGAAATGATCCACTTTTATATCTTTTTTTCTGAGAGCAGGTCTAAAACCACAAGTTCTCTTATTGGTGAACAGATAAATCCCAATGGGAATGTGAAACCCATACCAGCATTCTCTCTCTCTGAGTCACACCACTGGCTCATTCCAAATCTCCTGACATGTAAAACTTGCTCACATGTATGAAATGTTGGAGGCCTGGGTGTCTTGCTTGGCATTTGCAATTTGGGCCTCACTGATATCAGAGCCTATAACTCTCTTGAAATAGGGGGATAAAAGGCGAGTTGATTGACCAGACCCACACCCAACATCCAGGGCCAGATTGAGGGGACCTGCATACTGAAATAGATGAACATATTGCTTAGCCCAATCATATTTTTCCACTTGAAATTGATATCTTCCTTAGAAAGATCACAGCTAATACGTAGAAAATTTTATGAAGTACATGATGGAGTAATTCCAAAACTTATATAAAAACTGCAACAAAACAGAAAAGACTAAGACTGCAAAAAGAACAATGGATGATTCTTCTTGTCCTACTAAAATTGCATAACATTGAGATGCTCAGTTTTGAAGTTGAATGAGTATACGCTAAACACAACATTGTATTATCAGGGTTCTCGTTAACCCGCTATAGTGAGTCCCTGACTCATATTTTCTTGGAGGGACTCATATTTGCAAAACATTGAAGTCTGTGGGACTCATTGACAACCACCTGAACATGTTCCCACTGAGCTGAAGTTAGGCACAGGACTCAAGATTTAAAAAAGCTAGTGTGAACCCTGATTATGACTTCAGTTACCCTCACAAAGAGAGGTCACTGATGGAATTGCAAAAAATAAGTTAGATCACATATTTGAAGGTGAACATCCAATACAGGTTCAGAAACAACTTTTCCTTATTGCTTAGATTTGCCTTTTCTTTATTATAATTTTTCCATGAGGTAGATAATAATAATCCTTTGTAGTGCAATTGTCTATTGAGATCAAATTAGCATATGTTTAAACTGAAGAATTTTGTAGACACTGTTATATCATTATTGTATATCATTTTCAATATTCCAAAATAACAATCCTGAATGACTGACATAAGCTGAATAGTTTTCCCACAGAGAATGGAACAATCCCATGTTTCCCTTCAAGCACTTGGAAATAAACTATGCAATGAAATTATGAAAGTGTTAAAATCATGACTGCTTGCTTCAACCCACCTTCTCTTGGAGATATGAAATGATGAAGGATATGAGATTGGCAGGAGGGTTTGGTCTGAACTTGGAATAGAGGGTGGCATGAAGAGCACCTTCAAACAATTTCTTTTCCATTGGTTCCTGTCTTAGCTAAGCTTGAACCCAGAAGCCATCCAATTAGGCTGGGGAAAAGTGCACAGAAAGCAGAATGGCATCAAATTAAAATGGTCTTAGAGTTAGACCTACTTTTTGTCCACAACGGTAGGCCTTGGGCCGCTTATTGGCAAAGTCTTACTATGGCCTACTATTAACGTTAGGGTTTTCAAAAGAAATAGCAGCTTCCAAGGAAAACAATTAGCCTGGACCGATGAGCTGTCTCTTTCGCAGTTCACGCCTTGCTTCTCCGTACCTCCCCTAACCGAACATCACCCACCTTCCTTGACAGGGGGAACACGAGGAAAGTTGTGAGCATGAGGAACACGTGGGAAGTTGTGAGCAAGGGAGGCACCATATTGACTAGCCTGTCGTGTGTGGTGACCATGTGACAAGCCTCGCGGTCTTCGGCTTTGGCCAGTGTGCTGTCATTCGATTCCATCCTCAACGGAGAAACACGCAAGAGAGCTATCTTCCCATCGAGTTGGATCGATCTTGAGCAAAGGAATGAACGGTTTTTACGGTTAGCCCATCCGTAGACCCTGGGAAGCCTAGCACGTGGCGTTCCAGTCGAGTCAGCGCCCAGCTGTTAGCCTCATGGGGTCGAGGAAACATTCCCCACCGCAAGACCTGGGTCCGTGTCACGCGAATCTTGAATCAGAATGATGGAAGAACCTCGCAAGTGTCATCTATGGCTTGTGGGGATATGTTTGTACCACAACAGGTTAATGGATACATGGCTGTGCAGTAAAACGGTATGGTGGGACAGGTCGAGCTTGTAGGAAGACTGATTGACAGCTCATTCAGGGACTTAAAAATCTAAGAAAACGAAGAAAGTAAGTAATTAAGAATTAAGAAATGTAGGAAAATTTTTTCTGCTTGATGAGTTGTCATGGACTTTTTGAGCATATATATTATTGGAAATTTCAAGGTTCCAAATTTTAGTAAAATTCGACAGGGCGGAGTAGATTAAATTAGAATGGATTTATTTTAGTATAAACTCAGCTGAAATATGGAAATGAATGCTTCAAGAAGAACCTCTGCTAAAATAGAGTGAAAAGTCATTCCAGCAGAATGTATCAACTCCATAGCACTGGTATGGACCTGTGAACTCATGACATGTCATGCTGTTGGACTGCCCCCTTCCTGAGTCTCACCACTCAGCCACTTCTCAATGCCTGCCCTTCCCAATTCCCAACATCCGACTGACAACGATGCAAGTTAATGTGGCATGTTCTTTTTTTATGTGTGAGGCAAACATCTGCCACCTTGAAGCCATACCTGAACATTATTGTCTGGCATTGTTGTTGGTCCTAGCAACACCTGTATCATTTTCTATGAGGATTTTTGCTAATCATTCTCCTTTTCGCCTTCTAATTCTGAATAATTCACTTTCTGAAAACTGGAGTTTTTGCACCATCACTTGTTTTCTTCATGGGTATATCTGAATGAGGCTTTCATATATATGTTTCACCTTGAGCAAGTGAGTGTTATATGTGACCTCTAGTGAGTGTGATATTAAAATTGTTGCTTTTGTGTGTGTGGCCTGTAATTTTGTGGATAATACAATGAAAGAGCAAGTCATGACAACCAAGTAGATCAGAGTAGGAAAGAAACTGGATGAGGATAAGCCCATCCTCAAGTTGCATCCAAAGGAAAGGGAAATGGGAGTAAAAAAAGTGATATCTTGAGGAAAGATATTTTAGGCATCTTGCTAACATTGATAAGGAGTGTGTTTTGCCTTTTGCCTACCTGAATTGACATATCCGACATATTGACACATTGAGACATCCAATTTAGAACCTAAGCTCAAGCTCACTGTCAGGAGGACCACTGCAGAATTCATGTTAGGCAGATGCTTTGTGGCATGGAGCTGGAACTTTAGGGATGTACACAGCCAATGATGCAAATGAACTCACATGGTTGGGATATAGGTCATGGGAGGTGCTAATGGAACTTTGTTTACAAATGGGATAGGGATGCAGGCATGGTGGGTGTGTTTGTAGACAGCTGTGAGAAGCATGGTGTCTTTGGAGCAAAAGTAGACATGGTGCATCTTCATTACTTATTAGATTATTATTAGTTGAAAACCCTGTCAAACCTTCACAAGTTTTCACAATCACACGCTTCTTTGGTCTGGTGGATGACCATAAACCAAACCAGCTTCAGAAATTTCTTTCTTAGTGGTTTGACAACTGCCAGTAAATGCCCCAAATAAAGTTGTATACATTTCTGCTAGTTTGAAGTCTCCTGATAGCTGAGAGTGATGTTTCTGGGAATTTCTTCTTCTGATGTTTTGTCCATTTTCTGAATCAGATTGTCCCTTCGTTTGATCTCATTGTCTCTCTCGATACACGGATCGCTTATGAAATAGCAAACCCCACAAAGAAATTTGATTGACCAATAAGTGCTCAATAAATGCTAAATAACATTTTTAAATTGTAATATCCCAATTTTCCCAACTCTGCTCTTCATAAGCATAGTCCTCAAGGTTTTTCAGAAAATTCTTCTGAACATCAATCCATCCATAATTGCCAGCAGAAACTCTAATCCTTCTGCCATCCATGTATACCTGGCAGCACTCCCATCTTCCCTTGATTTTTTAAAACCAAATTGAATTGAAATTTACGTGTTGGCAACTCTTAACCAGTGTTGAACCAGTCATAGTTTGTTGTCTTCCTCTTATTTTGGATGGGCCTGATAGGAACAACCAATAACAGCCATTGGTGACTTCACACTTCAGGCTTCTCCAAAATCGAATGCAGCTTGTCATGATTTCCATTTGTGCGAAGAGATATTTTTTTCCCTCGCCCCATATCTACAGCGTTTGCAAGATCCATGATGCATTACTGATGGATGAAAGGAGCAAATTTTCAGATGAATACCCTCCTCCAAGGCCCCTCACAGCTTGCTCGAGATATCTCCCACCAGGGCAGGGACAATCCTCTCGTCCATTGCTCTTCTCATTGCCTGCTGGAATGGTTGTACAAGTGGAATTATTTTTTAACCTGCTGGAAGACATGCCAAACTTTTTGCTGTGTGGACTACCCGTTCTCAAACTTCAACATCACTTCATCATTTTGAATGCCGTCTAATTTTGGAGGGATTGGACATGGAAGGAATCTGCATGAACAATCAGATTCGCCTCTCATGAGCTGAATCGTCTGGACTTGCTGGGCCAGCCAAAAACCGACACCTCTGCACCCCTGAATTGAAAATTCAGGTATTCCCTGCTAATTGGAAGAAAGCCTGAACGCTCTTGAGCAGTTTTCAAATCCTTATTTGAGTGACATCTTTTGTTTGTGATTGCGATTACTTACCATGATCAGGGTACCGGTGATTTAGGTTTTAGTGTCTATTATATTTTTAATCTGTTAGAAAATCATGTGCTCCCTGTTTCCAGAGTAAAACCTTGCTGTAATAGAATAGTTTACAAAATGTGGTTCATCATTGGTCCCTGTCTTCAGTTAATAATAATTATTATCAGACTTTTAAAGCTGCTGTGCAATAGGTTCCTGTCGATATGCTTTTGTTGATAATGGCATGAACCTATGTGGTCCCTTTAGTAGATTCGGAGACTATGGATTGGGTTTTCCCGTGACCTAATTTTGCTTGACAATTTCGAAATAGTTTCACCTCGGCAGAGACCTTTTCTTCGCGCATTCATTTGCATAGCTACACGAAAGTTCTCACTGCCCGGTTCCTCTCGCATCCATAACCGAACGAACCAGCGGCATTCGAGTCGCCTGAAAATAGTCTTAAAAAAAGATGGAGTCAAATTGCAGAACAAATCGTTCAAGTAGTCGAACTTCGAAGTTGAAATCACCTCGGCATGCACCGAAGACACAGCCATCGCGAGCAGGGACGGGAAAGTTAAGCGCTGCGAACGGCCCCGATGGGATTCCGGCGAGTGTCGTCGAAGAACTCGGGAAGAAGAGTCGGAACCGTTAAGAACGACGTTCGAGAGTCGCTTCTCGCGTGGAGGAGTGCCTAGGGACTGGAAACGAGCGGATGCCGTGCCGATCTTTCCGAGAGGAAAGATCCGGGTAATCAGGTTCATGAGTATTCCGGAGATCACTTCTTGGAATTCCTCTCGGCGCGGCTCTAGGAGGCGGCGAAATCGTCTTACCGACTTGCCCGAGTTTTACGACTGGGTGAGGGGACGAGGGGAATCTCGTGGACATCGTCTGCTTGGATTTCTCGAAAGCTTTCGATTCTGTTCCTCGCGTGAGGTCGAGGGGCTAAATCGGAGACGCACGGGATCCAGGGTAGATCGAGTGACTGGATTAGTCCCTGGATTAGTCCCTGGATTAGTGCGTGTAATTGCTTGACGGGAAGAGAGCAGCGAGCGAAGATTCGGACTCGAGTCGGGGTCGCAAGCGGTGTCCCGAGGGGAAAGGCCAAACGACCGCTTCGCCTTCTGCTCGACATTAATGATTTATACCTCGGTCTGGCGAGTAAACACAGAACATTTTCCGACGACTACCAAATTTTTTTTCTCCATGAGAGGGGAGGATTTTCCGCTTTTTCGCGAGGGGAATAGGAAATCACTCATAAGATTTGATGAAAGTAAATGCAAGGTTCTTCATATAGGTCGTGATAACGACAAGTCTCTGAATGAGTCCGACGAAGACAAGCCAGAGGTGGCAAATGGAGAAAGAGACTAAGGATGGATTTTTGAACAGAGCATTATCCGATAATGCAGCTTTATTTACTGGATTTATAATGCATTTTCTCTGAAATAAAGCTGCGTTATCGGATAATGCTCTGTTCAAAAATCCACCCTAAGGGACTAGATAAGTGCTCCAGGATTCTCGGCTTCATCCGACGTCCAATGAGACGGCAATAAGAGCTTGCGAGTCCTTCCGTTGTATGCGGCGCCGGTGAGACTTGAGTTAGAATGTATCGTTCGATTTTGGTTAGCCTGCAAGTAAATGCGAGAGTCCAGAGAATCATCGAGGCGGTAAGTGGGCTTCGAGGCGTTTAGAGAAGGTCAACGAGGGGGGGGGGGGGGGGCCTATCCAGACCTTTAAACCATTATGGGAATCGATAACGTAGAGCGAGGTCGGTTTATTTGGTTCGATGACGGCAACAGGAGAGGGAGAACCGACTCGAGTTGCCCGAACCGCAGTCGAGGCTCGGGTCGTGACGCGACCTCTTCGCTCGCGGGACCGCGAACGCGCGGAATGCGTTCAGAGGGTTAAGAGGTCACGCGACTTCGCGAACGAGGCAAAAAAAAGGGGGAAGCAATGCGACGAGGCAGTCGGCGGACGAGCCGCAGAAGCCTCTGCCTTCGAGTCGCCCTATCTCATGTCCCGCGACCGGCAGGGACGCCGAAACGGGCGGATGTGCCTCGCGAC